AGTTATTTATCAACAGTCTGTGTATGGATGGTATAAGTAACATTAAAACAAATTTTTCACAATAATTTTTTGAAGTTATTTTTTAAAACACTAATTATCGTAGCACAAAATGATGCTACAACTTATTTGAAGTAAATTTTTACTTTTACTACGTGCGTTTGACACTGAACAAATTATTTATAACTTATGTTAACGTAAAGTTTACAAAAGTTGCTTTTTTATTTTATTAAACCACTGATTTCACAGTGTCAGTCTATAGTAGTTGAATGTACCATCATGAATACCAGTTAAAGCTACAAAAACTGTCGCTTTTGCTGCGCATTTAAGCTGCATCAGAGAAAACAGTTTTTGTTATCTAAAGACTAGTTGGTTGTCAAGCTTAGTTGAAAGTGTTCTATGTTTAATTATTGTTCGCAATGATTTTGTCAAAAAAAAAAGCATTCTAAAATATACAGAAAGACTGGTTTTTAGAAAGAAACAGTCAGCCAGGTGTTGCTTAATCTATCTTGTTTTTCTTCAGTATTTGCTTACTGAACTTTGATTTCTTAGATACAATGTATCATTGTATTGTTAACTCATGTGCGCAGTTTTTCTCGTCCGCTAATGAAACACTTCAAAGTTAAACAATTGTTTTTGAAATATTTAAAAGTTATGAATGTTTTTCACTTACAGCTTAATTAAGTTTAGGTACAATTTATGGGTTTACACAAGAATTTAAAGTTCAAATACAGTTTACACTACTCAAGTATGTATCGATTCAGTTTTACATGCAGATTTATGGTTTTGAAAGTTTTTTATTTGATTGTTGCACACTAGTAGCACTTCTTCCAACTCATCTAAGTTTTTTTTAGTCAATGACATCTTATCAAGTTTCCATGGTAGTTGTACGGAAGTGATATGAGTTTTATAAGTGGCTTTGTTTTATAATTGGATAAAAAGCTATAGGTGTTAGCATGATTACAAGTAAAGAATGAACATGTTTAAAGGGCATATAAGTTTATTTTATATCGTAATCAGATGCCTTAGCTTTAATTCTTTCTTTCTGTTATAAATTTTGCTATAAAATTTATACAATAGTCTGTCTTTGGCTATTGTTCACTAAATTCTATTGGCATCATAAGGAACCCAGTATTTTTTATCGTTGTTGCTTCAAAGAAATATATCAAATGACTAATTCAATTGAAACTGCAGTAAGTATATTCTTTTATAATAAATCCTTTTAGTGAAATCTTCTTCTGCTTTCCAATTTTGCAAAAAGTTTTTTTTTTAAACTAATTAATGGGCATTACTTCTCAAATTTGTATTTTTGAATTGCAAGATTTCTTTATGGTTAAGCGAAAGCAAAAACTTATAGTTTTACAAGATTTCCTGAGGACGCAAAAACATTGATGAAGCTGAAAACTGAACTATGCAAATGACAATTCTGGAAAGGTTTTTGCTTTAATATCAATGTCATTTTGTATTACACAGGTTCTGCTGGTATGGAACTATTAGCAATAAAATATATAATTGTTATTTGTGCAGTTGTTCTTTTTAAATGTTTTATTTTTGATTGTTTTTCTGATTTTTTATTTTCTTATCAATTAAAGACATCTAATAAGGCAGTATGTATCATACGTTTGAAGCATTAAAACGAGTAGCAGTATCTAAATAAATAAAAACACTTTGAAATCATTTTTACAATTTTTGTTTCAACAGTTAAGTCTAAAGTTAATATTTGTTTAGCATATTTATTTATATTGGCTGGCTTGATTATGATAACAGAGCATACGAAGAAAACAAAATAAAAAAACTGTTTCTTAGTGAAAGTAAAAAAAAAAAGTTTTGGGAAAGAGTACGGATAGATAAGAAACCGCTGGTTGACAGTTTAAGATGAGTCTTGTAAAGCACTTATTCTCCTAAATATTTAACAAATAACTGATTTTACATTACAGATTTGGAATAAAATAAATTGGGGAAACGCCAAGAAAAGTGTTTCTTGACCTAAGAGCACTATACAAGGTCTACTCAAAATCGCAACGTACTCTCTTTAGTTTGCTGCTTGCAAACTGTAGTTGTTAATATCTGATTGCTGTGTTTTATTCTCGTCACGCCGGAAAT